GCCTGAGGTCAAATCCTGACCTTAAGGACCTTATGGGACAGAAACTGTCATTTCATTGATTTGAATCCAGAAATACAGGTTGACCCATCCTGAGACTTTCTTTCTTGAATTAATCAAGTGAAAGAAGACTACTTTTCTATTATCATTACTATTTTACAAATGTTTGATAATCAAAGTGTTTTTAGTTCAAACCATTTTAGATGCTGCAGTGAACTAATCATTTTTAATTAACTGTGAAACAGTAATAATGATTTTTAATCCTCATGCAAAGTTAGAATTCATGTTAAGGTCTGTTACAGAGTAATTATGCATTTTCTGATTTTCTGTCTTTGAATGAGCAGTGTAAGTTGGTCCAAGGTTGGAGTCAAACGCAAACAAGTGTTGGAACGAGCTGTCATGTTTTTAAATCCTCTCAGACGTAAATAGAGAAGCTGGCACCTGTTTTCCGCCAACTCGTCTAAATATTCCTCTCGGCTGTCTGAAAAACATTTTCAATCTGTTCCATAACATTCTTGCTGTTTTTCTAACTCCTAGTGACCTCTTACGTCACAAAAACACACCCCTGTCTGGTTGAAACGACCAATCAGGAAACTCCCCAGTGAACCGGAAATGGAGCTCTTTAAAGGTTGGTACTTCCTAGTTCAACCAAGTCGAGTTTGGAGTCGAGTCCAGTTGGAGTCGGGTGGAGAGTTTGCAGCTCCAGTCGTTTGGGAGAACAGAAGTCCAGCCATGATTCAAAGCTCTTCCGAGTATTGGGGATTATGACATCTTCCACCTCTGAGTGGAACTCTGACGGACTCCACTCATGTGAAGTCCACTCGTGAGGTGAACTTGTGTCGAACAAGTACTGTCACTACTTCGGACGATTCACAGCTGTTCCTACGGAGACGCTGAAAGGGTGCATTAAAGGGAATTTCGTACTAGGGAGACATCTCCAGGTAAAAGAGATTTCTATCACCTAAGTGTACCGGGGAAGAAGCTGGGAAAAACCCGGAGAGTGCCGTTCTGATGCCGACACAAACATTCTCTCTCATCCATCTTTTTCTCCCTCTAAACTTCATCTTTCCATCTTTAAACTCTCCTATCTGCTAGAAATCATTCCAGATATTTTTAGAAGTGTCTGTTGTACAGCTGGAAGTGAGAAAACAATCGCCGTATTGTTTACTCCGTGTAAAACTTGCTAAATTAGCCATGTTGTTATTTTTCATATTTTGCCAAATTAATGTAAATGTGTGATGTGTTAAACTTTGATTCTGTTAATAAATGACCCACTGTCGTTGGTGAGTCAAAGATAATTAACGTCTCACGTTACATTTCTAAATTCAATGCACATTATATACAGTCCAGAAAAATGAAAGAATCCGTTTAATTTATGAATATATATCATGCATATGTTCATCTACAACAGGAAGCCTGGTGTCCTATGTTATAATTCTCAGAAGGTTCTAATCCATGTTTGTTCCCTTTTTCATTATGATAAAACTCACAGGAAACATTATAATCTTTTATTTCTGCATCACAAATTTGATACTAATGTCAACAACAGCTATATTCATGTGTGATAGGAGTGGTTAAACATTACCGTTCTGGGATAAAT